TGGGAAGGAGTGCGCCAAGAACCTAAGCACTTTTTATCAGTTTGCAGTTGCTGGGAAAACACGTGAAAAGAACCTCTGGGATGAAGTGTGTCCCTGGGAAGCCAGAAGGCTAAAATGTCTGCTAATGTGCGAGGAAGAAAGTCACTGACTCAGATAGTCAATAGTACTTAATCAAAAAGCAGTTGTCTCAGTTTGCTTCTCATTACTCAATGCTGCATCTACCTTAAAGGATCCAGAAATGAGCTAAGGAAATCTTGTCAGGTTCACACTTGCTGAATTTTTCATTTGATTACTCGAGTGCAGCACACTTGAAAGGGGGATGCTTTTCTACCCTATCACATTATCACACAATGGATAAAAGTCTGAGCCTCATATTGTTGAAGACCTTTGCCAGATGCTCTGCACAAGAGATTACTCAAACTAATATGACAAGAGAGGCAGAAACATTATCACAGATGAGAAACAGTCAGGAAGACCAAACAACATTATGTTTGAATGGAGCATCATGGACAAAGAAACAACAGCCGCATGACACGAGGGTCCACTGCATAGGGCCTACTGTTTTACACAGATATCAACTACTTGGGAAGCAAGTAGATAAGGATGGTAAAAATTTAAATATAATTATGTAGTTTAGTCAGAAGCACAGGGGCCAAACAAACACTACAAAGAAAACTCTGCGTATATTAACAGGCAATTAGATGTTGCTGATAAAGCTGGGGCACACCTGAAAATCAGTTTATAGATGTTTCAGATTAATTAAGGGATCTAGAGACCACTAAGGACTAACAATACGCAACTGGGATCAAATACACAGACCAGTAGGTATAGAATAATGTCAAAGATTGTAATCTGTGTTACAGTTGCATGATGATTTTTACTCTATTGTCAGTACTATACCCTAAAAGACACAGAATTTTCAGAAACAGTAATATTCAAATAAATGTTTAGATAAATATTTGTGGCAAGTCATCAAACCTGCATTAAGTACACTCTTACCTTCAAATATCTTTTTACTCCTAAAGTTTTCATCTGTTCTATGAAAGAGTTGAACTCTTTCATGTTGCTATGTGAACAGTGGCACAAAATTTCTGTTCCTATTCTCCAAATCATCTATCGAAGAAAGGAGAAAAAGATTCAAAAATAACTTATTACAAAAATGGAAACAATCACTATACATGCCATTTTATCAAGCTTGTAGCTACTGTAACATATGGACAAAATACGCATTTGAATTGCAAATTAAAAACAGAATACTAAGTATTGTCTACTGATATAGTTACTTACATGACTATCTACTACATTTTTATTACCGTTCATTGAGAGCTTCACAATTGCTCATGAGAAATCCAGCACTACAGCAAAACATAAGAAAACTGCATGTCAGGAGGTTCTCCCTCCCATTTGGTAACCCAAAAAGCTTGTTTTGCTTTGACACAATCCCAGTGAAGTGCAGGGAATACATAATTCATTTTACAATTTAGCTTGATCCCTTCCCTCTTGTTGTTTCAGTACCTGATTGGAGTCATGTAGGTAATAGAAGAGCTAGCAGAGACCTAAATGTGCTGCTAACTTTCAAACAGATTCTGATCTATGGCATGGCAGAGGCAAAAACATTTATTGCTTTTGCAGTTCAGAAGACTACACTAAGATAACTCTTGTTAGACAACACTGACGGAATTCACTGTAGAAAGCCCAGCTTTCATCTGCTGTGGCCCTGGCTTATGTTAAAAAAAAAAAAAGCCTGAAAGTCCAAAAGTTCTGCTGGAACTTAAAATTTATTAGCAGTGAGGGTGACAGAGCACTGGAACAGGCTGCCCAGAGAGGTTGTGGAGTCTCTGCCTCTGGAGATCACCAAGGGCCGCTTGGACGCAGTCCTGTGCCATGTGCTCTGGGTGACCCTGCATGTGCAGGGGGTTGGACTAGATGATCCCTAGAGGTCCCTTCCAACCTTAAGGATTCTAAGTCGAGAGAACTTTTCAAAGACACTGAACACACTTTCGGGAAGGACATCAGAAAGCACAACAATTTCTCAGCACTGCTGAAAGCCCAGCAAGTCTGCAGACGCCAGCCTGAGAGGCCTTTAACGAGTAATCTGGCAACACACTGCCTTGAACACTACCAATATGAAAGTCTGGTGTACTCTGCATTCTGTCATCCAAGACCTTCCTCTTCTCCGCTAGCACTGAAATAGCTGCTTATACTGACTGTTTTCCCCCTTCATAGCATCATGCTCACATCCATACATTCTTTGTTATACCTTAACTAAGACTAACGCAAGCTCTGAAGTACTATAGATGCTTCTAGCAACTATTTTTTCCAGCTGCAAAAGATCCCCAATAAAGAAGGGTGAGTTCCTTACCTCCGAAGGACCCATATATTCCGTAGAAAAGTCCTTCTCCAAGGACTCAATATAAAAGGTCAGAAACTCTGCAGCCCGCTTCCATTGCTTTTGTAACATAGCATCCTGAATGTAATTTAAACACATGTCCTTGCTCTTCCAGAAGTCTAACTTGTGTTTGTGGGAAATGGCTAAAAATAAAGAAACAAACAGTCTTCATCCAAACAATAACATGACTACTACCTAGATGATCCCTAGAGTTCTTGGTATTAAAAAAAAAAAAAAAAAAAAAAAACCCACAAACAGACACTGTAGAAACTTATATACCAATGAAGGTAAAGGCACCTACTTTCTGGAAAAAAAAATAAACAAACGAAAAAGACACCGATGGGAGAACAACACATTACGACCAAAGCGGGAAATACAATAAAAATTGCATTTTTACAAGCAACACAGAGATGAAGGCACTTGTGAAATTGCCAAGGAATAGCTGTTGCATACAACTTCCCTAGAGGTACTAGAAAAATATGCTGCTTGGTAATTTGATAGCCTTTTCCAATTCTGAGAGTTCAGGATGGGAGAAATGGGGACACATCTCTCCATTTATTCCCAAACTGACCTTGAGATCCACTTTGCTAAAGTGTCACACAAAGAAACACGCCCCAAAGACTAAACAATTGGTATTAAAAACAAAAAGCAAAGCACTAAAGATACCAGGAGCAAATTATTATCTTGTGAATACAAAATGGTAAATAGGCCTCTTAGAGCTTCTAATACTGAGCCATAGTGTCTCCACACTTGGGCTAACATTTAAAGTATTTCTAACTTAACAGATTCGAGCTGCGTAGGGGAAGGAAAAAAAAAACACAACAAACAAACAAACAAAACACCCACCACAGTGAACATTTAAAGATTAAATATATTAAGGGCAACTCTTAACACATCAGCTGCTGAGAGGTGAACCGATTCAGGCAGATTTGGTGCAGAGGCTCTGCCAAGTGCTTCGCCGCACAATTAACGTGAAAAACAAGCACGCTGCTGGAGGTTTTCCTCCGGCTGACCCCGGGAGGCAGCCAGGGCCTGCGGGCGGCGGGACGCGCGCAGGGAGCCGCGGGGCGGCCGCGCAGCTCCGCGCTTACCCGGCCGGTAGAGGTGCGCGGGCAGCAGGGGCAGGTGCAGG